AGAGCCTTATCCTTAGCAGGTCAGAGGAGGGCACTATAACTCTCATGCTGCGTATCCAGGAAAATGTCTTGGCTTGGGTAATGTCTGCTGGCTTCCGGCATAGCTGGATCAAGATATTCCAAGAAGGTCCTTAAGGATCTGCCCTTTTGCTTCCCTCTGTTCAGCCTTCCTCTGTGGTTAGCCCTGGTCTCAAGCAGCCTCTACCAGTTCCATCCATATAACTCTAAGTCCAGGGGGAAAGAGATTTTCTCTCCCACAAAAAAATCCCAGAAGTTACCTAACTGCAAATTTGAATTGTATACTCATCCCTAAACCAAATACTGGGAAGAAGGAGATGCAAATGCACTGAATTATGAGCCTGGAGCCCATGGAGGGAGTGGCCCCATCCAAATTATGTGGGCTGACAATGTCAGGGGACTAGTCCCCTCAAAAAAACTCTGGGTGCTGTTACCAGACAAAGGGATGTTAAGATAAGCCCACATAGCAGTTTCTATTTATGGTCCAAGATTGAAAATGCCAAGACTCCCTGCTTGATTCAGGCTTTCCATAATCTAGATGACAGCACCCTTATGTGCTCTCTTAATGGTTATAAGAAAGGGTTATTCAATTTTTGTTATTTATCCAGCAAGCAGATTTTGAGTGTATTCCGTACACCAAAAACTCTGCCATTGGAGGGAAATCCAAATTCCAATAAAATACAGTGCCTGCCCTCAAAGAGCTCCTAAGGGCAAGGATATTTAATACAAGATTACAAATTCCTGTCCCACATATTATAAAAGGGACATGTAGAAAGTGCTATGTGACTTTTGTTCTGAATTTTCCTGGTCATTGAACATTCTTTTTTAGCTCACTTCCGAATCTCACAAAGTACATTTAAATCTAATTTCCACAGCAAATGAGAACGATGTTACGTAAACAGTCAGGTTTTAGAACCTAAAGGTCAAAGTCTAGAATGTGCCATCCTTGTTTTACATCAATCCAGGATTTAAAATGAGACACATAAGTGGCATTCTACAACTATGAAGGTGACCTTGAAAGCAGTTTTTTTTTTCCTTCAAACAAATAATGCCTCAGACAAATGTTACATATTCTTTGAGACAGAACAGCCAACAATTTGCAGTCCCACCTGCCATTCAAAATGCTGCAGAACTTTCCAGTAAAGACTGCCTTCTGCTGAAGCAGGTCGTGCCACGTGAGGACACGTGTGGAATGGATAAGAAGGTAAGGGTCATGTCAGCAGGAGTAAAGCTTCAACGAGCTCCACTAACAAAAGTGATTCATTCCTCCTAAATTTGTAACATCTTCAGAAACCAGAGGAAGTCGTATGAAATAGAACAGAGAGGAAGAATTTGTTGATGAGTGAAATTTGGAAGTATTCCGAAACTGAACTCAAGCCTGGTGATATTTTTTTCTACTTGACTAGAAATACATGTTAGGTAGAAAGTGGACATTTAAGATTTAAAGAAGTGTTTAGAACATGGAGACCAGTCTTTATTTAGTTGCATTCAAGAAACATTTATTGAGCACCTACAATGTGCCCATGTCACATTAGGCAATGTTTAGGCACAAATCAATGTTGCACAATACTTGGCCTTGTCTTACTGTCTATCAGAGATAAGGCATAAACAAATAGTTACAGCATTATGTCATTTACGCTGGAACAGGCTTTTACAAGGTGCTGGTGGACAGAGTTGGGGGTGGAGAGAGGGAAGAGAGGAACTCTGTTTAAGTGGAAGCTTTAAAGATGCATGGTAGTTCACTAAGGTGATGAGTCCAATGAGGGTCCATGGAGGAGAGGGCAAAAAGTATAAAGTATGTCCTCTACAGGCAACTTCAAGAAGCTCATATAGGCGGGCGCCTGGGTGGCTCAGATGGTTAAAGCGTCTGCCTTCGGCTCAGGTCATGATCCCAGTGTCCTGGGATCGAGTCCCGCATCGGGCTCCCTGCTCCTTGGGAGCCTGCTTCTCCCTCTGCCCCTCTCTCTCTCTGTCTCTCATGAATAAATAAATAAAATCTTTAAAAAAAAAAAAAAAGAAGAGCTCATATAGGCAGAGGGAAGCCATTGAAGGCTTTGGAACAAGAGAATGACTTAATCAAAGGTGTGCCTCAGAAATCCTTCTAGTGATGTTAGGGAGGATTGGACAAGGAGAAGGGGAGAGTTTGGAATAGACATGGCAGCCGGGGCAGGAGGGGCGGGGGGCGGGGAGGCTCCTGCAAGGGTTCAGACCAGACTTGAGGACAGACTGAACTAAGTTAGGGTGATGATATTGGAGCAGTGGGAACACGGTGGCCAGCTGCTAGTAAAGTAGAAAGGACAGGAGCTAGTTTTGGAAAAGGTAAGGAGAGGGAAATGGCCAACACAAGTCCCAGGTGGGGCCGGCTTTAAGGATGTGGGATCTGTAGAGTCTCAGAAGGGTCCCAGGCTTGGTTTAATGCTGTCAACATCTTGAAACCATTAATTTTTGAACAAAGGGCCCACATGCTCATTTTCATTGTGCACTGGGCCCTGCAAATCCTACAGCTAGTCTTGCTCCCAGGCTTGTCCTGAGCTCAGAGGTGGATCACCTTGCCAATAATAGAAATTGGAAACAGAAGAACACATTTTGTTCTAAGAGGGATGGGTGGGGAGAGGTCAGTTTTGCACCGCATGTACTTATGGGCCATCAAAGTAGAGCTATTCAATAGGCTGTTAGAAATTGGATGTAAATTCCACGCAAGTTACACGCTTGAGTTATAGATGTAGGGAGTACCAAGCCTAAGGTGGTGGAGAGGTTGGGTATGGATGAGAGTGTTCAGAGGGAAAAACAGCTGGAGACAGAACCTTTGGGAGCACCTACGTTTAAGGGAAAGGGAGGGGAAAGAGAAATGGGAGAGGGGGAGTTAGAGTCCTAAGGGAAAATGTTGGAACTGTGTTCTGGAAGTCAAGGAAAAAAGTCTCAAGAAGGGAGTGACCGTGTGAGATAAGCCACAAAGAGATCCAGTGGGGAAAACGGCCATTGCACTTGACAGTAAGAGGGTCCATGGTGAGACCAGTGGTGGAGATGGAGGTCCTATTATAATGGAATCACTGAGACCAGTGGTGGAGATGGAGGTCCTATTATAATGGAATGAAGGAGCAACCAAGAGGAAACAAATAAGAGCAGACCATTCTTTCAAATACTTGGGCTAGGAAATCAAAAGGAGGAAAGGAGTTAAGAGTGTAGAGAATAGAGAAGCGTTTTGGTTTTTTTTTCTTAAGATGGGGAAATTGAGCAGATATGCACGTGAGAGCCTTATCCTTAGCAGGTCAGAGGAGGGCACATACTTCCGGGACAAAAGTACATTCTGGAATGGGGAATGGAGACCAACAAATTTCCAGATGGAATGGTCAGAGGGTGAATGCGTATTCTATACATTATTCCGTGCATGTATGTGTTAAAAAGAGAAAAAAAAAAAAAGCCCTCAACAAATCTCTTAATTTTCTCAGTAATGTTAAGTTTACTCCTGAGAGTGAGGTGGTCAGGGTACAGGGCTTTAGAACAGTGCTGAGGCGACTCTTTGCAATCTATGAGAAGACACTGACCAGGGAGAAATATCACTGCTGAGTAGCAGGGAGGGCTCAGCGGCTCTCCAAGCAGAAGCCAGTCTCATGAAAGAGTCAGAACTGAATGATGCTTGTCATGTGTATGGATGAAAAACTAAGAGGCAACTTTAGCCCAGGGTATTAAGAGCTCAACAAGGGGAAAAGCATTTGCCTCTGAATATTTTTTAATTAAGCTCTGAAGACCCTCCATTGCAATATTAAACCCTCACAACAGCACCTGCTTTCTTTGTGTTGCTGGGGCTGCCCAGCCAGCACCAAGGATCCTGGGCATTGGCTGGAGGCGAACCACTCTGGAGGCTGCAACAGGGCAAGTGCTGATTTAGTGAATAATTAATGCATCACCAAGACCTGAGGCTCCTGCCTCCCTCAGCAGAAAGGAAGTTTATAAACCCATAAAGCAGCTTTACTTTGTGGTCTAATGATTAAACTTTCCCTGGGCCCTATTTCATTGCAGCTCAGTTAAAAGCTGACCAACTAGCCGCTTAACCATTCTCCCTGGGGTAATTAAAAACAAGCAAAATCTCCGGGCTGGACTAGCAAATAACTGTACCCCCTCGTGCAGGGCACTTCTGTGGAAAACCCCAACTTTGACTCCATCCATTACGCTAAGGCAGCAGAATTGGGCTAGTTCACTGGAAGGGTGGCGGTCCCGCCGCCAGCCTCACTTACCTCCCCAACCCCCAGGAGATGGGTGAGCTGCTTCTGTTCACCCCTGATCTAACCAGACAGGTCGCACACGGTGCCATTAGAAGCCCTCCCCTTCCCCCCACCTCACCATTTGTGTACCATGGAGTTCCTCTCTAGAATTGCCGAGGTGGCGCTTTGTGGAGACGGTGAAGTGTGTCTCATTCGTGGTTGAACCAACCCTGTCACGGAGAGATGGGAAAAAGCCTCACCAACAAGACTGTCATTCGAGAAATTACCTGAATTAGAGCCATCGTCTGGATTTAGGTAAGAAGTAGATTTTATAAAAACAATTAAATGGGTAATTCAATGCCGTGGCCACCTGGATGGCAGGGACGAAAGGCAGGTCCCGAATAAATGTGCGCGCCCAGGGAGCCAAGTGAGCAGCAGTTTCCTGGCTTCGCGTGGACACCTTCGAGATGTCGAGTCTAGCCCAAGCTCAGTGATACCGGATTCCCTTCCTTCCCGGCAACAAACCTGACAGGTCGACCCTCTTTCTAAGGGTTAACCCGCCTTCCCTCCCCCGCCTCCCCCGGTGCCCGGGGCGGGAGTCTGTGGCCCCGGGTACCCTTCCGTGACTCACTCCTTGCAAATGTAAACGCCCGAGCGCGCGGTAGGTCCCGCCGGGCCCCCTCGCGCCGCGATCCCCACACCTACCTCCGCGACCAGCCCAGACGCCGCCCGTCCCCCGCGCGCCGCCAGCGCCGCGCCCCCGGGGGCGGCCCCGCAGCCCCGCCGGGACCCAGGAGAGCCCGAAGCCCGCGGCGACCGCAGGCGCGGCCTTAAAACAAAAGAGGCGCCCCGGGAGGGTGGGACCCGGACCTCACCCCCTCCTCGCCCTGCGGTGGCCGCCCGCCCCCTCAGCCCCTGCTCTCCGTGTGCGCATGAGCGGAGGCGCCTCCCCCGGTTCCTCCCAAGGCTAAACTTTCTAATTCCCTTCTTTGGGCTCGGGGCTGCCGGCGGCGGGGAGAGCGCTCGCACCGCTCGGTGAGGAGGACAAAGTGGCTGCGCGATTTTTTTCCCCCTCCCGACCCTCCAACTCCCCGCTTCCGTGGGAGCGGCAGGAAATGGAAGGGCCCCTCTCTTCTCTATGAACATTAGCTTTTTTTTTTTTTTCCTCTACTTCTCCAGAAAGGAAGACGGGGGGAAAAAAGGGCAGGCGGCTCGGCGGGTGCGTGCTCCCCTCCTCTGCAAGGACTGTCCCCTCGGCTACAGGGACTGGCCATGGGGCTGCTCCAGGTGTTCGCTTTCAGTTTCTTAGGTAATTCCGCGGACGCGGTGGGGGGTGGGGTGGTGGAGGGTGGGAGGAGGAGTGGGCTTGGATGGGGAAGAAGACCGCGAAGGCTTTTGACCCGGCTTCGAGGGAGCCCGGAGGATCCGCAGAGGGACTGGGGTGGGAATCGTGCCCTGGGATTAAACGCCAGCGCCCTCGGTGGCGGCTGGGGAGTGCGCGCGAGGATCGCCGCGGACCCGCAACCCGGGGGCTCTGTGCCCAGAACTGGGGATCCCTGGCCCCTGCTCCGGGCTTTGCACCTTCGGCCGGTTCACTGTGGGTCTCTCCACTGCGGGGGCAGGCTGCTTGGGGTGGGCTGGGGGCTTGCCGCGGAGGGCTCCTCTGGAGCCCATTTCCCAGCGAAGTGTTCTAGCTGAGCGCAGGCTTAGTCCTGGGAACAGATTGGAGCCATGTGGCTTCAATTAACCATCGCTGTTTGCCCCCGGATGGCGCCAGAAACAGCTGGACCGGGTGCTTCCCTGGAATGACGAAGCGTTGAAGCCACTCCAAAGCCGCAGGGACTTGTCCACTCGCCCCTTGCTTGGGAAGGCGGCGCCCTCTGCGAGTCCTGCTGCCTCGCCCCCAAAGAAGCGCCCAGGACCTCCCAGCATGCACGCACACACACTCGCAACCCCACACTCACACATTTCCACGCGGGCGCACACACAGGGTTTCACACTGAGGATGCACAGGCTGCCGCGTGCACGGAGGTTCATACACTCACCCACCTACCGGCGCGCGCATGGGTGTTTGGCCTCTCGCGTCCCTGCGCTCAGGTCCAGGCACAGGCACATGGAAGTGGCTGGTCTGCACATCTACCTTTTGTGGCTGGAGCTGCTTCCCCAAGGCAGATCTGGGTGGGCTTGAGTGTCTATGGGTCTCCCGGGAATGATGTTCTGGGCTGCCGGACCAACGTGATCTCGTGTCTCTTTCCGAACCCTCTCCACGTCCCGGCCTCTCCCTTCGCTCGTCTTTCCACTATGCCTCTTTTCTGTGCGTTCTGCTTTCTTCTGAACCTACTCTGTTCCCGCCCCTGCTTGTTTTCCTTTTGCTTGGGCTCGCTCCCTGCTTGTGCCCTCCTCCCCACCTCCCCGGTCGCCTGCGCTTTCCACAGCCCTGTGCGGAGCCCAAGTGCGCGCTCAAGAACCCGAATTCAGCTACGGCTGCGCGGAGGGCAGCTGCTACCCCGCCACGGGCGACCTTCTCATCGGCCGGGCACAGAAGCTCTCGGTGACCTCGACGTGCGGGCTGCACAAGCCTGAGCCGTACTGTATTGTCAGCCACCTCCAGGTGAGGGCGGAGATCCCAGCTCCCGGCTCTGCGCGCGCCTCCTCCGGTCCAGACCTAGGGGCCAGGCCCTGGGGACTCCACATCCTGCCAGCGATAGGAAGCGCGGCCAGTCGGGGAGTCCCGGGATTGGACTGGTTGCTCACCCTTTTTTGCTCCATCTCGGTTTTCACAGTTGTATCCGCCAAACATTTCCTGCCGCCCCCACCGCCAGCACAGTCCGTATGGAAAGGCAGGGCTGCGGGCAGACCTGGTCCCTGCCCCGGATCCTGCCCCGGAGCCTTCAAAAGTCCCGAGTGTTTTAGGTTTTGTTTTTATCTTAAATCTGTCCTCCTTGGAAATGTGTATAAAAGATAGTTTATGCTCTTTTTCTTTCTTTTTTTTTTTTTTTAAAGATTTTATTTATTTATTTGAGACAGAGAATGAGATAGAGGAGGGTTAGAGGGAGAAGCAGACTCCCCGCCGAGCAGGGAGCCCGATGCGGGACTCGATCCCGGGACTCCAGGATCATGACCTGAGCCGAAGGCAGTCGCTTAACCAACTGAGCCACCCAGGCACCCTATGCTCTTTTTCTTATGCTGAGTAGTGGTCTTTGGTTTTTCCCGTTTCACTTGGATAAAGGGTACGGCAGCACTGACAGATGCCTTGCAAGGTCGCTGTAATCACTGAACCTGATTTTCTCTCCTGTGGGGCTGTTCCCCATCTACCTCCATTAGATACTTTTTTCAAAATGCCCTGGTTGCCATGGTACCCTGATAGAGAAGGACCAAAATGAAATTTCAGGGTGCCGCTTCTAACAGTGGGCCAGGATCTTAGATTTCAAAGGTCACGTTTTTACAAAGTCAAAACTAATTTTTATTTTATTATTTTTAAAAGATTGTATTTATTTTTCAGAGAGGGGGGGTACAAGCAGGGGGAGTGCTAGGCAGAGCAGGCAGAGAGAGAAGCAGGCTCCCCGCTGAGCAAGGTGCCCCATGTGGGGCCCAGGACCCCCAGGATCATGACCTGAGCCCAAGCAGACGCTTAACCTGACTGAGCCACCCAGGCGTCCTAAAACTAATTTTTTTTTAAAAAGACCCAAAACCAACTACCTAGAATCAGAAGCCTTTTGCTTGATTTTTTTTTTTTTTTTTTTTAAGTAGACTGATATTTCTGACCTCTAAAGCAAGCAAAAGGCAGCTGGGCCAGAGCCAACTGCTTTCATTTTGGTCCCTTCACCTATCTGTATACCTGCCCTTTGGGAGGAGGTCCATGCTGTGCAGTTTGCACGGCGGAGGCCTTAAAATGGATTCATTTTTACAAAGCCAAGAGAGCGCCCATCCTGGAGACCTGATAAATTAAACCAAAGGAATGCGGTAAAGTGGATTCTGCTCATTTGCTTCCAGGTTTATACAGAGATGTCTAGACTGCTTCCTCCTGCTTAGAAGGGTGGCTGTAATTAAACTTTTTTTTAAGTTCTGGTAATTGTTCTTCAGTATTAGTTTCCTTGACTACAAGTTAATGAAGGCAGTCGATGGTACCTTTTCTAATATTAGCATGTAAATTTTACCTAAAATATTGTGTTAACATTTACCTCGGAGGCGAGGACATCCTGTAAATGAATCACTAGATTCTGAAACTGGCTTTGACCAGAATGAGAATTGAATTGTTTTCAAAGCCAAGTCGAGGCAAACTCACTGGTTTACGTGATTAGCCATGAAAGTGTGGAGTGCTCTTTACAGATATCAGAGCCTAAAGAAAGGGACTGGGTGTGCGCTTTTCTCAAACATTTAATGGGTCTGAAAATTGAGGCAGGAATCTTAAGTATTTTGTCCAGGGTCCCACTGCATTCCTGACTTCTGTTCTCTTTCTTTTTCTTAGTATATTTTGCTAGTCCCTAAACCCTTTTGAGAGGAAGGGGATAACTAATAGCTAAATAAATACAAACATAAGAGTACAGCTGTTGGTACTGTCCTTATCAGAATATTACCACTGCTTGAATGTTGTTCGATGTATGTGGATCTCTGTAGATGCCATCTCAGCTTCATTAAGGTCCATGTTGGCGTTCTTTGAGTTAGTCTCAGGATACAGTGCTTTCAACAAAGCAGCACAGCATGATACCCACTTCCCAGATATTCTGTGCGGTTTCTAGGTTAGCCTGCAAGCTGCCACCATGAGTTCACTGCTTAGGCAGAGCAGAAGCTGAGAAAACTGGTTCTGTATTTCCCAAAGCTGCTTAAATACATCTGCCTAATACTTGGCCTCTGTCTTGTGAGGTTTTAGAAAATCAGGCTGAATGAATATTTTTTTCCTTTCATTTTTCAGTTTGCTTTATGTCAGCAGAAATTCTCTAATACCTCTTCTGCATTTTACTGGAAGAGTAAGCTTCTCTAGCTATTCATTGAGATGAAGGCTTATGCCTAGAAATTTCATTTTGATTAAATTAATAGTTTGTGGGAACAATGCCGCCTTTTACTTTTGACCTTGAATTTACAAGAGTGGAGGAAATTTTCAGGAGTAATTCATATCCCATAAGTTAAAAAGCAGAAGGCATATTATGTGTCACGTAAGTAATTTTGGCACATGCATTTTTCTTGAAGCAAGTAGATTTGATTTCTGTATTGTGGGCTTAATTTTTGGTGTGTGCATGTGTGTCTGTCTGTCTGTGTGTGATTGCTTCCTAGACTCATGAAACTAACTTTCCTTTCAGGAGGACAAAAAATGCTTCATCTGTAATTCACAAGATCCTTATCATGAGACCCTCAATCCTGACAGTCATCTCATTGAAAATGTGGTCACTACATTTGCTCCAAACCGCCTTAAGATTTGGTGGCAATCCGAAAATGGTATGTGGTTGGTGTGGGAACAAGTTCCACGGTGTGTGATTGGTCACCTGGAAGGAGTTTATAGACTCCTGAGTATTTGTAATCTTGATTGGTTTCTCTGCCCGGTAATTATGGCCTTTGGCAGATTTACTGCCTAGCACTAACTTTTCTTGGTAAAATCTGATCTTTTTTCTGGAAGCATGCACTTTCTATAAGAAAGCAGTCTTTGATGCTGGACCAAAGGGGTATTTCGTAGTCCTCATCTGAGGGAAGTCTGCGGGGATGGGGTATATCTGTTGGGGGTGTGGGAAGGCCCTGCACAGCCCTGAATCTTCCACAAAATACAGCGTCTTTCCTCTAGAGAAAATTCAGTAACAGTACTATGAATCAGCACTAGATGTTAATTTTTCAAAGACTCTGTCAACCTAGATATGACCCCAACTCAGTTTCTCTAGTGAGTATGTGAACCCAGCCCCCTTTTCCTTTATTTGCCTTGGGATTTGGGTTTAGTAAATTCATCAAATTTGTTGTTACTTCACTGGGAAACTAAGCCCCAGTTAGTTTGGCATTTTTTTCAAACTTGAATGCTGAACTTTGGAAATAAAGGTAGAGTTATTGTGTCTCTTAATTAACAAGGTACCATTAGATGTTCCAAAAAATTATGAGAATTCTGGCTCTCAAAGAAGTGAACCTAGGCTTGGCCATAGAGAGCATGGATTTGATTAGATCTCTCTATTATATATGCCCTATCTCTGGGAAGCTTTCAGAGGCTTGCTGTCATTTAACAATCTATAAAGAGGAGCTCCCTTACTAGACTTCCTTGTCATTGACTATGAAATTATACTTGCTTTCCAGAAGACTGTTGGTTTCTGGGGGAGGGTTGATTGATTTTTCATTGGTCAGCCTTGGGACTGCATTGTTTACCAGATTGAGACAGACTGGTCCTCAAAAAAGCATGTGTCCATTAGAGCCTTATCAATTCTTCTGGTGGTTATCTTGGCTGATAGTTAAGTGTGAAAGAGAGGTTTCTGTAAGTCTGTACTCAAATCCCAAAGGACTTCTGAAATAGCATAGAGCTGCTTACAAACAGGAGCATGTCCCGACTGCCCACATTCTTCCAGTGACATGAAAAGACCATTAGAAGGACGTCTCAACTTTAGTATCAAGTTGATAGACAGTAAAATTGTTCATCCTGTGCTGTAGTTCCAGGGGAGGGTTTTTCTTGGTTACATCAGGAGTTCATCAATTTCTGCAACTTTGAGTTTGTGGAGCAAAAGAGGCCAAATGCCAGAAAGACAGATTTTCATGTAGAGGGGCTTGCATTCTCTGTCACGAGAGATTAGATGAGGTTAGGCTGAAGCCTAGTCTTCAGAAAGTCAGACTGATGGTTACTGCCCCGTCCTCTCCTTGGTGTCCAACAGCTCATCATTAAAGATGTTCTTTATGGATGTGATGTTATCCATTTTCCGTGGGTTTCGTCCAAGTTGAGCTTTAGATGGCGGCATTAAATTATCGGTGTTCAGGCATCGAAATGGGCTCGGAGGGTGCAGCTACTTTTCACTTACCCTTCCTAATGATCTATCCTTAGGTCCGACAGAAATCAAATATGCCATAAAGGAATCATCTTGTTTCTTTTCTCTGTGGATTTTTCTTCCCTTATTAAAAAAAAAACAACAACAACAACTGTAATGCCTTATCAGGTTCTAAATCTAAATGGAATGTGCTTTTAGGGCGCACATTGCAGCCTATGTTCTTATGTTACAGAAAGGGTACTGGTCTTGTTTGTACTTTACGTTATTTTGTTATCTCTTCATTTTGAACAAACATTGTAGGCTTTTAAAAAGCCTGGGAGAGAAGAGACACATGGTGGCTGAGCTAGCATTTCACGCTGAAATGTCCAGAGTCGGTTTATAATATGCTCTTTTTAATAAGTTAGATAAGGTTGGTTAGTGTGATTATAATGTTTTTCTTTAACATTCCAACTAACTCATATCCGTTTCAGTGACCACCCCCCACCCCCTACAATTGGCTTGGCGGTTTTCCAGTGGGAGAGTTTATTTCAAAAGTCCTACTGATTTCCTGAAAATACACCAGCCTGTGACATGATTCATTCTGACACATTCCTGTCTTCCTGCCTTTAAGACTTCTTTTGCTCTAGAAGGTGGACCCCCAGAGCTCTCTCGAGCCCAGGAAACAGGGAGGGGTCTCCTTTAGTAAACAGGCAGGCTGGAGGGCCCGAGGTATTGGAGGGGAGGGAACTACTTTCCATCCCTAGAATTCCAGTGGCTTTTTTAGTGTGTTAACGTGGGACTGACCGACCCTCGGGGCATGGTGCAAATGCCCATTTGTTTGTTCAGGCTTCCCCCTGAAAGGGAAGATGTTAGTATTTGTTCTGGGCCGGTTCATTTATTTGACCCATTCTTTGTCTCTGGCATTGTTTTTCGGTTGTGGTGATGCATCCAAAGGCTTCCCCATCAGGGACAGGTCTTTCTAAACGGGAGCATAACTAACATGCGTGGTAGACTCTTATTTATTTTCTTTGCTGCTGCATTAAAAAAAGGAATACTTGTGATTTGCCTGGAGGAGGATTAGGTCCCCTGCTTTAGGCTGCAAGCTGAACCCCTACTGTGCACAGGAAGTGACCCCATCCTTCCCCTCGGAGAGTCACTGGGCTTAGAGGATTGGGAAGATGTTTTACTTTCTCCTAAGCCAAAGCTGCCTTTCTCTTTTTTTAAGGTTTTATTTATTTGACAGAGAGAAACACAGCTAGAGAGGGAACACGAGCAGGGGGAGTGGGAGAGGGAGAAGCAGGCTTCCTGCAGAGCAGGGAGCCCAATG